CAAATTAAATATTTGATATAACAATCAAAACAATAACGTGTGAAAATAAAAAGGCTCCAATATTAGAATATTCAACAAAATATTGGAAAATTTGCTATTAAAAGATGAAGACAACTTAACAAATCAATTTCTTGGTATTAATGAGTAATAGTAAATTAGTCAAGCTTTGTGTGGTTGGTAAAATCACACTAAATTTATGAAATGATCATATTTTTATAATATTTGAATTCAAAAATAAATTCAATAATATAAACCTAAAATTGGACACAAATGTGTTTTGATTTTTTTTTTGAGATACAAAAAATATGGGTTCGATTGAGTTCAATATCTTACATAATATTTGAAACTCTTATCTTTATTTATAAAAAAAAATCTACTATATTTTACTTTCTCATGTTATTAATGTTTTATGTTTTTTACTTTTTCTTTTTGTAAGAAAGTGTTTTTAATTTTTCTCCTATTAAATTGATTCAAATATTTTGAAAAATGTTTTTCACTAATTTTCATCCAATTTAAGAAAAAAAAAAGATTTTCCTATAAAAAGTAAGGAAACCATATTCCAACCAAACCTAATTGTCGATATTGGACCCAACTTTGACCTCGACCCAACCTAGAACCCGACTCCTCACCCCGATCCCGATTGATGACCGGACTCTCTCCCCGATCCTGACCGAAGACTCTCGCCCCGATCCTGACCGAAGACTCGACCCTTGCCCCAATTCAGACCCTGATCTTGGACTCAACTCCCGACCCAACTCTCAGTTCGGACCATGAACCCAATCCTAACTCCAATTTGAGATCCAACTCTCGGCCCTTACCTTGGATCAACCCGGAGTCGAGATCCAACTACCAATCTGAATCCGGATCGGAAACCTAACTCTAGATTTTTATATTTAAGTTAAAATTTCCTAATATAGAATATTTGTAAAAAAATAAAAAATAAATAATAAAAGCTATAACAAATATTACTTAAATGGGGCAGAAAAATTAGTACACCCCATGAAATTCTTATATTTAAGTTATTGGTTCACTTCTTTGTTTGGACTTCTTGCAACTAGAGAATTCTATAACATTAGTTGACTTAAAGTCTTCTTCTGTCATTTTTAGACAAAGAAAAATTATGATACCAAATTAAAGATTGATATAACACAATTGAGAAAATAACGTGTGGAAAAAAAAAGGGCCCAATATTAGAATATTCCACACAATATTGGAAATTTGCTATTAATAATGAAGACAACTTCACAAATCAATTTTCTTGGTATTAATGGGTACTAGTAAATAAATCATACCAAAATTCTTTTTCAATCTCACTATCCAATCTTGACCGAGAATTCGACTCTTGACCCTAACAAGAGCCCAACTCCAAATCCGGATCCGGACTACGATCTCGACCCAACTCAGGAGACTCGACTTCCGATCCAGACTTCGATCTAGGACTCAACTCCTAACCCTATTCCATTTTAGCACCCTTTTGATTATTTTTTTAGGGAAAAAGGTCAAATATGCCCCTAAACTATTCGAAAAGGTCTAGATATACCCCCCGTTTAATGTTTGGCTCACTCATGCCCTCGCCGTCCAACTTTTCGTCTAGATATGCCCTTATGGGCGTTAAATGCCAAATGGAATTGCCACGTCATTTTTACATTACCATGTGGCATTTATATTAAAGGAAAAAGGGTCAAATATACCCCTAAACTAATTGAAAAGGTCTAGATATACCCCCCTTTTAAATAAACTACCCGACCCATTATCAACAATTTTTTTTAAATTTTTATTTTTTTGGTAAATCCTGAAAATGAGTAATTGAATAATAAAAAATAGGAAAAATATGAAAAAAAATATAAAATTAACGCCAAAAATTCGCAAATAAATATAGTAACCTTAAATTCAACAATTCCAACAATTTTTTTAAATTTTTATTTTTTTCGATAAATAATATGAAAATGACTTTATGCTGAATTTTTAGGTTATATTTTTCATATTTTTTATTAATCAATTACTCATTTTAGGGACTTATCGAAAAAAAAATATAAATTTGAAAAAATTGTTGAAATTGTTGAATTTAAGGTTACTATATTTATTTGTGAATTTTTGGTGTTAATTTTATAATTTTTTTCCATATTTTTTCTATTTTTTATTAGTCAATTACTCATTTTCGGGATTTACCGAAGTTTTTTGTTGAAAACGGGTCGGGTAGTTTATTTAAAAGGGGGTATATCTAGACCTTTTCGAATGGTTTAGGGGTATATTTGACCCTTTTTCCCTTTAATATAAATGCCACGTGATAATGTAAAAATGACGTGGCAATTCCATTTGGCATTTAACGCCCATAAGGGCATATCTAGACGAAAAGTTGGACGGCGAGGGCACGAGTGAGCCAAACTTTAAACAGGGGATATATCTAGACCTTTTCGAATAGTTTAGGGACATATTTGATCCTTTTCCCTTTTTTTTTATATATAAATCTATGCTCAATTATACATATCTAAAACATTCGTTAAAATTTCAGTCATGACTAAATATTCGTGCAATTTTTATAACAAATGTTACTTAAATGGGACAACAAAATTAGAACACCACATGATTTTTTTATTTTTTTTTAATGTAAGTTAAAATTCACTTCTTTATTTGGACTCCTTGACTAAGTAGTGGCAACACTTTCAAGATAAAGAATTCTATGCCATTAGTTGACTTAAAGTCTTCTTTGTCATTAATTGGCCAAAAAATATATGATACCAAATTAAAGATTGATATAAAATATTGGAACAATAACGTGTGGAAAAAATAAAGGGGGGGTGGGGGGTCTAATATTAGCATATTCAACACAATATTGGAAATTTGCTAATATAATAATAATAATAAAGAAGACAACTTTACAAACCAATTTTTCTTGATATTAATGAGTCATGAAGAAAACTTTTCTATGTTAATTAATTTTGGGTTGTGTCATATCATGTTTTCTTCACCTTTAATACAACTAAAATCTTAAACTCTTTACAATAGCATTGTATGGATGGTTATTACCGATTAGTATTGTATTGTTAGTTTAAATGTTATGTTTGTTATTTATATTTTATTGTAGCGTATCGTTCAAATTCATAATTAGATAACATCGAAAAGTCTCATAATCTGTAACAGCTGATTTAACGTGATCATGCCGTTACCTTAGTGTTTTCTTCTCATTTTGTTTTTACTTATTATTTAATAATCTTATTCTTCTTCAGGAAAAAATATATAGTACGTAAGACAAACTTGTGATATGAATTTACTTTACATTAACTATAGTTTAAAAGAATTATAATTCATAGTTATAATTAAAATTTTATACCAAATTTCTCTCACTCTGTGCTCGCCTTTCTCCCTCCTCAATTGGCAGAATACAATCTATTCAAAAGTGACGATATTCATTAAAATAATACAATATGAAACAATACGTAACACCATCCAAACTGGTTAAAATTTGTGACTGGAAAAATTCATCACAAGTTCCATTTTGTGATGGATTATTAATATATGATAATTAAACAAGTAAAAACTCCATTGAGGATCATTCTCTTAGAACTAATCACTTCACATTACTTGTTTCATCACACATTTTCATTTTATCAATTAAATGTTTGTGACAAATTCAAATGTCTGTCACAAACTTTATTTTTTGAACAAACATCATAAAATTTAGCATGAACTTGATATTTTATTCAGAACAACACGAATTACGTACATAATATGTGATGTCAAGCAACAATTACATCTATTTTTGCAGAATCAGAACAACTCTCAAGCAACTTCACAGACTCAGTTGAGCTTGTTGAAGAACTAATTAAATTGAATTCTAATGAACATGGTTCCCGCGATTCAGAGGGCCTGGGAGGCGTTTGCAGTGCTTGTAATTCTCCTTCAAGCATTTCCACTACTTTAGTCATTGAGGGACGATCAAGTGGATTCATTTGTATGCACCACAAAGCAACTAAGGTCAGCTTCTTTACGTCATCATGTGTCTCGTCTAGTACTTCAATCTCCTTTCCCTTGTCGAGTTGATCATAAATCCAATGTGGGAAATACTGGCTTGACATATCCTCTCTGGCTGCCGAGTTTGTTTTCAAGCCTACGATATCAATGAGTAACATTCCAAAGCTATAGACATCTGCCTTATAAGATATTGGACCAATGCTTCTGTTGATCAACTCTGGAGCTACATAACCAATTGTTCCCCTGACTGCTGTTAGAGTAACAATGCTCTTATCCGTCGGGTATGATTTTGCAAGACCAAAATCAGATAGTTTTGGAATGAAATTCTCATCCAAAAGTATGTTGTGTGGCTTGATGTCAAAATGTAGAATCTGAATGTCACAACCTCGATGCAAGTATTCAATACCTCGAGCAACTCCAAGAGCAATTTCAAACTTTCTTTCCCAACTTAATAGTTCAGCTCCTCCTCCTCGAGGTGTGATGTACTTTTCAAGTGATCCGTTAGGCATGAAGTCATACACGAGAGCACGCTTACATCTCTCAGCACAATAGCCAATAAGTTGTACTATGTTAACATGATGAATCCTCCCGATTGTGGCAACCTCGTTGATGAAGTCTTGCCCATCAGCTTTGGGCTTGCTCAAGATCTTCACTGCTACATTAGGACCACTTTGAAGCTTGCCTTTATATACTGAACCATAACCTCCTTGGCCTAGTTTCTCTTTAAAGTTCCTAGTCATCTTTCTTATGTTGGAGTTGGAATATCTAATGGGCGCGAAATTGTTCTCACCATGCAGGAAACTTTCAATTGCATCATAAATCGACAAATGCCTTCTTCGTAACTTAATCATTAGAAATACAACTATGCATGGAAATAGAACGATTCTTGCCACAATGCTAGGCCCTGTGTACAACCATCATTTCGACATTAAAATGATTTCTAGTAATAATATATTTGAAAGACGAAAGATGTGGCTTACCAGCTATGGGAGGTATCCATGTGATGATTGCTGCAAGAACACCAAGAATCAATAACACAGTTAATCTAACTTGCAACTAGCTACTGTTATATAAAACAGAATTGACAATAGAAGTACGACTGCTTACTATCAATGTAAGCTGTGCAGCCGATATCCAAACAATGAACATCACTTGAATTTTCCCCTACACATAGATATGGATCGGCGCACTTGCCACAATAAACGTAACTAAACCATGAAAGCTCAAATCCATATGCCAAAGCATTATGCAAACTTAAAATAGAAATGCTAGCATTTGCATCCTGAATACGCCATGAAGTCATTGACATGAGGTCTACACTACACCCGACTTTCAAATCGGATGGTGATAATTTAGTCATGGTTGCATATGTGTGTCCCTTAAATAAATCAGAAGAAACATTGGAAGCATAACTCCTGTTGAGACAATTAGTGATTTCCACAAAGACTGGAGAATTTATGGCAAATGGACAGTTGAAGAGAGTGATTGGTACTGGTAAATGAACATAATCAGACATTGTATATATAATAGAATCAAAACCAAGAAGGGCAGTGTTAACCGTAATCAAATTCTGAGGAAGAGAGCAAATAACTTGTTCTCTTATACCAGGATCTACAAGGCGGATAGTGGAGTTATCGTAATTGATGGCTTGAACATAGTAGTTCAGTGATCCATTCCAATCATTTAGCAGTATTGTTAATATGGCGCGATTTCCTTCACAGCTCAATTCATAATTTTCAAGGCCGCAGTGCTTTGGATCACTTTTCAATCGAAAGGGATAACTGATGTTATGAATATGCCCACAACTAGAAGGAACACACTGCTGTCTTTGTTCTGCTAATGGGGTTTCTGAGAGGTACATGAATATGAGGATTGTAAGAAGAAACTTGGTTACTACAGACATTATATTTTTATTAGGTCTTCCCTACTGGTGCCAAACCAATTAAGTCATTAAATCCTAAAAGAACAATGGCAAGTAAGTCTTCATCAAGTTCGGTAAGTCAATCAATCAAGTCATTAAATACTACTTAGACCATCCCAACCCACACCAAATTTGGTGTGTAAATAGTGTTACACCAAATTTGGTGTGTAAATAGTGTTACACCAAATTTGGTGTAACACTATTCATCACACCAATTCACTTTTTGAATATTTTAATATTATTTCATTATACAAACTTTTAATTAAACATTATATAAATTGTATGTTTTAATTAAATCTCTTGTATATTTAATTATTTTTTATGTAATATTTTTATAATATTAATTTTAGATATAAAATTTAGTCTTTTTTTATAAATTAATTTTTCTATATATGACTTTTTTTTAAAATAATTTATGTTAATTCTACTATAAAATTATAATTGGATATAACTACAATTAACATTCAGAAAAATTATCAATTTCTAGCTTGATATAAAAAAATAAAGGACAAAAAATCTCATTTTGAGCTACGTAATGCATTAATAGAGCATTTATGGAAGCACCATAGTGATCTTGAAAGTTGAATATTTATGTAGAATTTAAAATATTTTTTCAATTATGTAATGTTTATTTAATTGTATTTCATTAATGATTTCACTTTTATTTGTATTATCCATTATTATGTATAATGTATAATATTTGCTAGCAATTTATATATTTAAAAAATTATGGTACAAAATAATTTTATATTAAACAATTATAAAAGGAAATAATATGAATTATATATGGTGAATGTTTTAGAAAGAATTTGTTTTATGAAATAAGAAATAATATAACAATTTCTTGCACCAGAAGTGTTGTCAAGCAATTTCGGAAAAGCGTCTCATAAATCTGATGTCTATAGCTTTGGAATGATGCTACTTGAAATGGTTGGAGGGAGGAAGAATTTTGATGCAAAAGCGGATACTAGCCAAATGAACTTCCCTGAGTGGATTCATCAGCGGCTGAATCAAGGAGAAGAGTTGAAAATCAGGATTGAGGAAGATGATGATGTTATAATTGTAAGGAAATTGGCTGTTATAGGACTTTGGTGCATCCAATGGAATGCGACAGATCGGCCATCCATCAAAGTTGTAACTCAAATGCTAGAAGGAGATGTGAGCAACCTAACTGTTCCTTCTCCTTTTACAACAAGAAACACCACCCATGTAGGTCCTTCTACGCAAGAGTTGACGGTAATATCAGAACTAGAATGAATGGAAGCCTTAATTATGGATAAACTCCTGCATCTAAAGTTGTAATGTCAAGAGTCAGTACAAGTGGTGAAGCTTGATGTTAGTAATTTCATTAGATATGTGTTAAGTCATTATGTTTTTCTGCTACTTTCGCAACTCTTTTCCGTGTCCAAAATATTTATTGTCAATCTGTCATGATTCTAATATCAACACTCTTTCAAAAGTCATTACATATGCAACACCCTAAGGGGTCGTTTAGTTGGCCGCATCAGCAAAATAATCCTAGTATAATATAATACAATGTTTGATTAGCCGCACAACAAAAATGATCTCCGCCATAACTAATGCAACACTAAGAACATAATTACCTTAGAATTTATTACATTCAGTCATGTCAGAGAAAACAACTGCTACTAAGAATTTGCAAAAGGGGTACAAGTCTCTATAGAATGAATGATCTTACAATTTTTGTGCAGAAAGTATCAGATGCAATTCATAGATTTCAAATAAATACATACCTGAATTGGCACCACCGGTGTGTAGCCTAATCGATCATTTTCTTTTGGACAACTATCTGTTCTGCTACGTGTTTGACATCTGATTCTTGAAGGAGTCAACTGTGAACCTTCATTCCATATGAGGCTAAGAGCTTATTAGACAACTCCATCAATTTAGCAATGATTATCATAACAGAGGATATTTGCTTTCAGTTCACTTCCACTTTTCAGTTCCACTCAATAAGACATATCCCGAAAGCATATCTATCAACCAGTACACCCTTTGCAAGATTTGATAGGCATAAATGTTCTCCAAGTGTCTCAAAAGCATCCCAATGGCTCAAAGAAAGCATTATAAACTGGGGCTACCAGATGTAGAAATATTAGAGTTGCACTTAGAATCCCTCAAGTAGCAATACTACTTCAAGAAGGATATGCCCGGATCAAACTGGAATTCGAGGTATATGAACAACATTCGAGTTAACTTTGCCTTCAGATACTGGAATCCAAGAGGGAATAGGAAAGAATGATGTCGTATCCCATGAAGGTGCATGTGTTCTGGTGTAAAAAATTGAAATGTTGTAATTTTTGAAAATTCAACCCGACAGCTTCATTCTCCAGGCCAATCAATATACACCATTGTTCTTACTGATGCAGCTCCATCCCTTAAACTAGCAGAGTCATTGGTGTTTGATAATATGATATTTAGTCCGGTCACCTCCACTCAAGATGCCCCTAATTTAGCTTTAGCAACTCTCTTCGAGTAATCTGTAACCATGTAGCTTTGTCATCTTCAATCTACTACAGAAGTTAAGAGCACCAGAATACGTTGCAACAACGAGGATAAAATCAAATGACCAAGGCTAGCATAGTTTGCAAACATGTAGGTCTTCCTAGGGAACCTTTGCTATAACAGTTACAAGTTTCTAGTCATCAACTGACCAATTGCGTACAGACAAATCAATTGTGCCTATCCTTTTAGAGTCATCGCAAAATTGAGCCCCGAAGTAACGTTTTAGACGATGTTGTTACGTGTAAGGAGAGGCCTCCTATACCACCGTAAACATGGCTATATGTTGGAAAGGTAGCAACTGAACAAATAGAATTAATATGCACAACAGGGGAATATTAATGCATAAACCACTGCCTCCATTGATCTATGCAAACAAAACATGCTACTCATATCCATCAAAATTTCTCGAAAATTATTCGTGTGACCAGCTAACTTCTATATGTAAACAACCCATCCATTTCCAACTTGCTCGTAATTTCTATGAATACATGTACTACTTGGACATGATTTCTTTCTGACATTTTATCAAACAAGTAGGAAACAACTCTAGTTGTTTTAATTTCCACAAATTCAAGCTTTGTATTAAAACATACATTGTACAAATCAAGCTCTCGAGTACACTCGAGGATAAGAAAATCTAGTTCTACCTATGGATTGTCAAGTACTTGAAAGTCGGGAGTTTGATTTATCTCATAGTTCATACAGTATCAGGTAACTCTATCCATCAAGACTAAAAGTTTAGAACAGATGAAAATAAATCGTGTAATGTTTTATCTTGTTTTGTCAAAAGACCTCTATTGGTCCTACCTAATGCAACACTGACATAGTGGGTCCAATTGATTCGCGGTGTAAAAAACATTTCTTTCTAGTAAGGTGAACTCACATGTAGAAATTCATAAACTTTAAATTCTAGAGTACACATACTATATATGAGTGAACTCATATTTATTAATTTGGTTTTAAGTTTTAACATAAAGCATGAATAAAAAAAAATTCCTCGAGACTCGAGAGAGATCACACCATTCTTTCTAAATACAATTCAACCTTCAAATAAATGATTTAAAAACAGTCTTGGCGATTGAAGAATTAAGTTGTATCATTCTTTTCTCCCTTGCAGTTCTAATTTTCTCTGCGTTTTCTCTTACCACCGGAATACTTTTTGTTACTTGAGTCTTCTTTTTTCATACTGGAATCTTCCCATGAATGGTATCCCCTCCGTGGATTCCAATTATATTCATTTTCACCTCTGACTTTGTTGAGTTCAGTCTTCCCTGAAAAATCATGCATAACTAAATGAGAGGGTATGATACACAAGAAAAAAAATATAAGCTCAAAAAAATAGATTTGAGTTTGAATCTAATTCCTATCATATGTCATTTAAGTGCGAAGTTTCTATCCTTAAAAAAATATCGTTCTTGTTTCATGGATTAGATGGGATAATGAAAACGATACTATGTATCCATTGATTTAAAATTTAGAATCCGCCTCTAGTTTTCCATTGAAAAATAAATAAATAACATAAGTATCAATTAAAATTCCTTAAGTACCAGTAATGTTCTGTTGTAGTTGCTCTGATAGTTTCTCTTGGATAGAGTCTTCTTGGTCCTTTGTTGTTTTACTTCCATCACGTTCTTCAGTTATCCTCATTTGTATTGCCACCTATAAATTCACTTTGTTTTTTAAAAAATGATTGAAAAAGAAATATTTATCGTAGAATACAATGAAAAAATTCACGCCAGCAAAAAGAAAATCTTTCCCTCAAAATTAATAGTCCAAAATTGAAAACAAATTAAAACATTCCCCAAATTAAGTAAATAAACACACGTCAGGATTAATTAATTACCTCGCATAGGTCAAAAAGGGATTCAGACTTCACACTCTCTGGTATTATTCCCTTATTTAAATTATCAATGCTTTTCTCCATTAAGGTAGAATTGGACTCACCTGAAAAATCACCTATAACTAGATGAAAATAAAATACTTAATAGTATTTAAGTCAATTGTAAGAAGTTTAAATAAATTAATATCATGAATAATTACTTCCGTACCATGAATAAAATTAATTAAAATTTTCGGATCTATAATTTGAAAGAAGTAACATAAGCCAATTGTGAAATGTTAATTTCTTAAATACCGTTTGATACCTTCTTTTTGCTGTTGTTTTTCAAGTGCTTCCTCCTCAAAAGATCCTTGTTGCTCCTTTTCCTTTTGGCTTTGACTGCATTCTTTAGATCTCTTGTTCTGTAACGTCTTATTATAACTTTCCTCTATAATTTTTTCGAGTGACTGAAAGTAGAAAATTTATTATGTAATAGAAAGACCATGATCAATGAATTATCTAAATTGGACAACTAAAAAAATTATCATAGACGGGGACATAATTGGATAAACAGAAGACATGAAAATTACCATAGCAATGAAGTCAATAAGATAGGAACTATTCGCTATACTATTTGGTACTCCTTGTTGCGCATGGTCCTCTGCATCTACTCCTTCTTTGATCGGAAGTTTTGAATTACGCCCTTTGTTCTTCTTTTTTCGTCCAGATTGCATTTTGCACTTCCCTTGAAAAAATAGTTTAGCATTTATTTAACCAAATTAATCTTATTAATGATATTTTGAAAGCTTAAATTCGACCACTAGTAATTGAATTAATCAAAAAAACTAATTACTTAATAAGAGTAAAGTTAAAAGAATAATTGATACAAAATAATGATAAGGTGTAGAATAAATTTATTATGTACCCTCTTCTTTTGATAAAATTACAATATGATAACACTATGGAATAAAAAGGGAATTGTTTTTTTCAATTTTCGTTATGCTTTACTTAACTTAAGCTTAACTAGATTGATATTAGGGGTGGCAAAACTAAACTCAACCTGCTTAATCCATCCAATCCGTTTAAGTCGCTTATTTATTAGCTTAATTAATCCATTTCGACCTATTACAAATTGAGTGAATATGTAACCGAATATTGACTCATGAGAAATATTGTCAAATCATTTATAAAAAAACTAACTTTTAATTTGATATGTTATATATAACCATAATAATAAAAAAATATTAGGTACTAAAATATTTTATAAGAACAAATGAAAAAAATTAAAACTTAGTAAAAATTGGATTGACTCTTGACCCGTTTTGTAATCTATTACCTGATTCGTTTTGACTCAACTCGTTTTAACCTAAGCAAATTTAGATTGATTTGGATCTTGACCTGTTTGTTGTCTAGATCCATTATACCCCCCACCCCCCCAAAAAAAAATCCACTCAACCTGCCCAATTGTCACCTACAATTGAGATATACTCATACAAGTTGTGGAATAAATTGAACAACTCCATAAGACATAAAACAATCAAATTTTAGATCAAACATAGAAAAAAAAAACTTTACCATAAAATTAAAGGAAATAAAAAAAGTGAGAACAAACATTGTTTACTTAATACTTAATGAGTTATTCAATTAATACTTGAATCGAAAGAAGAAGCAAAATCTTGTTTTCCTTACAAGTTCAAATGTCTCGTCTCGGGCGCCGTGATGTTCTCCTGAAAATTTATGTTGAAATGATGAGGCGAATGAGGATATCTCGCGTTTTATAGTCTACTCTTGGACACTGAGTTGTTCCCTTGAAACCCTCAAGTATTCAATTTTGACACTTTAATTTGCTACTTATCAATAAAGACGAAAAGGACTTTTAAATTTCAATGATATGCACAAACAGGGTTTTAAATCAATTATTGTCAAAATTTTATTTTTATATGTCATGATAGTAGTGATATTTAACACTAATTGAGAAAGTTAATCAAACTTTGTCTTTTATTTTTTATTTTTTATTTTACGATGTTTCAACTTTCATGTGAGTAAAATATGCGATAATTCTATTTTTGTGATTTTTTTAAAATATAGGATGTATTTAGGTATCCATATATTGTATTTTATTCATAATTTATTTAAGTTTTGAGTATAAATTCACGTAAATTAAATTCATATTTTTATGTATAATTATTGCGATGAGCTAATATATATATATGATTAGATTAATATTAGGCTAAAAATAGCATGATTTGACCCGAAAGGTGAACTGGAACTCAGGGGTCGTTTGGTACAAAGATGCATAATGCAAGGATTACTAACGCATGGATTAGTAATGCATGGTTAGTTTTTATCAAGTGTTTCGTTCATTGTTTCCCACCTAATCTTATGGTTGGTTTAAAACTATAAAAAAAGTTTTTTTCCTATTATACCCTTGAGTTATTATGAGATTTTATATTTCATTTAACTAGTCAAGTTAAATACTAAAATAAAAAAAAATTATTATTATTTTTGAGGTGTGATTTGCCACTATAGACATCATTGATAGCACAATATATTTCTAATTTTTTGTTGGTCAAATATACCTTAAACTTAACATAGATTTAAGGCTACTTAAATTGTTCAAATCCACGAAGGTTATTTTTTTAAAAAAAAAAACAAATAGTTCAAGTGGTCAATCGACAAACTACATTTTAAAAAAATGAAAAAAAATCAACCCAATATAACAAATCAAACATGGAGAAAAAATATTAGTTTGTAAAATCATCAAATTACATGGAACGAATTTGGAGAATTTAAAAGAATATCTATAAATATTCTCATATAAATGAAAAAAAGAACATTAAATTACCAAAAAAAAAAAAAAAAAAAAATATTTGAGGATAGTTTAGTCATTTAGGGGTCTTATCCAAGGATTGTTAAACCTTGGATTAGCTATCCCTCCCTTTTCTAGGGATAAAATAAGATCTTGTATGAGGTATAACTAATCCATGGATTAGGTTAAATAAAGTAACCAAACAGTATTTTTGTTGGACTAAATTTTAATCCATGGACTATTTTGATTAATATCTTCTACCAAACGGGTCCTAGACTGAAATTTAGTCAAGACATGTTGAAGATTTATTGGCGACCCATCCTTGGTCAAGGGGTTTCAAGCGACA